GAGGCTCACAGAGCCTTTATCTCTCCGTCCTTCAGTTAATCCTACTTGTGTTTATCGGCCAGGCTGGCACAATAAACTATCTTACCCTCCAGTCAAACTGCAACCTAATTAATCCCACCTGTTCCTATAGGCCAGGTTGGCACAATAAACCTACCTATCACACCAGCTTACAGGCCCACCAGCAACATATGAGTGCCCCACCACTCCACCTTAATTTATTGCCCCCAAACCTCTTTATGAGGAGCTAATGTGGACATCATGCCATTCCATAGTTCAACCCTAGAGAGCCGTGCTGTAGCATCGCTACCACAATCAGTTTCAAAACAAGTCCTTCCTTCTTGAACTCCCTGATGTTAGCTCCCCGCTATCACCCCTATGCCTCTTCCTCCCCCTCTGTGTGTCTTGGGGTTTTGTTTTGAGTCTCACATCTGAATCCATGTGTCCTGCAGACCGGGCGCTGCTTTGGGCCCCGGGGGAGCGTGTGGAATAGGACACACTCAGCCCCGTAGAGGAAGAAAGCCCATGCATGCACGGCTTTGTTTTAGGGGACACCAAATGTCATGGAGGACCCTGGGGACACAGTAGGTGATGCATTGGGCGGATCAGGGAATGGCTGGAGATTCAAACCCACCTGCCGCCCCTGGGGAGAAGGATGAGGCTGTTTGCCTCTCCGGAGATCTGCCGTGCGTGGCAGCTCCACGCGCTCCTGCAGGGGTGGCAGGGGTTGCACTCCATGGCTCTGTTCTCTGTTTCAATGTCAGGGAGAAATCAAGAAAGACTGTGGGACCAGGGAGACACATGTGCCTCCCCTCAGAGCTGGGGACAAGAGGTCAGTGTTGGGGGCAGTGAGGCCAGACCAGGCATTGCAGCAACAAGTGTGAAGGAACCAGGATGAGTGTCCACTTGGGCATTGTGTTAGTCCGGGTGGACCTGAGAAGCAAATTCGTAGACACTCATATGTATGTAATAGAGCACTTCATATCGAAGAGTAATTGCATATTGAGAAAACTTCCCAGCCCAGTCCAGATCAAGTCCATAAGTCCAATATTAGCCCGTATGTCCTATTCCAGTCTACAAATTCCTCTTCAGACTCATGCAACACATGCAATGACCCCAAATTCAGGAAGACCACAGGCCAGTGGGTGGAAAGTCTGGTGGATCCGGTGGTGGTAGAAGCATCTCAGTGTTGGTGTGGGTTTCCACATGGCTCCTCCGGCTCCAGGGTTCTGGCTCCATCGGCGTAGCTCCATATGGCTTGTCTACAGGAATGTCTCATGGGGATTGAGTGTATCTGGCCTCCAGTGAGTTATTGATCTCCATAGAGCCTCCAAATGAGGTCATCAAACTTGACCTGATTGACAGGTTAAACTCCACCCCTTCACTCTTAATAGTCTCAAGTTGACACCAGATGATGTCACTCCCACAGGCATTCATGGGATGAGGCCAGAGTGGCTGAGGGGTAGGAGTGGGAGACAGTGGGGGTGATGGGGCGGGGGCAGTGAGCAGGGCCTCTCAGCTCCCGGGAGCTTCAGTCCTGTCCATGGTGACTGGACAGAGATTGGAATGTGGCCAAGACTGTGGGCAGGACATTCTGCTGTTGCCACGGGAACCACAGAAGCACTTGGGTGTTGAGGGAGGAAGGTGCAAGGCCAGAAGGGTCCCATGGAGGATCGCAGGCAGAGTCTGACGCACAGTGACCACGGTGGTGAGGTAGCGCTCGAGGCTGACCAGGCCCAGGACCATGGCGTGCTGGATGCTGAGGGCCCGGGGTGGGAGCCCCAGTCCTTGGACCACTTCCAGCCGGAGCTGGAGGACCCCGAGGAAGAGCTTTCCCCGGAGGAAGTCATCCGAGAGGAGAGCCCGGAGGCCCCGAGTTGGCAGGAGGACCTTTCTATGCTGGAGGAGGTCCCAGAAAAGCTTGTGGAGGAGGACATTCCTGAAGTGAGGTACGCATGGTGGGCTGCTGGGGTGGGGGGCGGGCAGTGAGGGAGGGGGCAGTGGGAGGGCTATAGAGCGATGGATTTGTGGTGGCAGTGGGGGCTGGGGCAGTGGGAGGATGGGGTATTGGAGGGAAGGGCACAGTAGGGGCTGTCAGGAATAGGGCATCTGGGGCTTAGTGGGAGGACAAGGCTGTGCAGTGGGGGAGTGCAGGGGGCAGCAGCTCCTCACCCCCCCAGCACTGGTCTGTACCCCACCCACACCTGCAGGAGGCCAAGCTCTCTTCTGGGTCTCTGAGCGTGATTCTGGGGTGACACTTGCCTTTAAGGCAAAACCTGGGGAGCAGGTGTTGGCCGATGGACTTCAGGTGTTGAGCGGGGGAAGCTATGGGCGCGGGGGTGCAGCCTCAGTCAGTGCTCTGTAGCCGACTGTGAAGCACTGGACCTCACTGTTGGAGGCGGGGTCGGCCTCGTGTCCACTCCAGGGAGGAAGGCACTGCACCTTCGGCATACCAGGGTCTCCGGACCCCACACTTCTGTCTGGAGGAGACTCATGAAGGGGTGCAAGGCAACTTCTCTGGGCTGATGGGCCCTGACCAGGTCCCTCCCCCCGCACCAGCCAGCTGTCCATCAGCCAAGGGTGGCCGGAGTCCAGAGGGAGGAAGAAGCGGAGGAGGATCTCCGAGCTGGCGAGGGCCAAGACCTGCTGGCAAGCCATGAAAGACAGGTGACCACTGGCAGAGCGAGGCAGGCCCCGCCCCCGCCCCCGGGTCCGCTCCCACCTCCCCAGGTCCTCGCTGCGCCCCCACCTGGGACAGGGAGGGCAGGTAGGGCCCAGGCGACGACGAAGGAAGGAGGAGGAGGTCAGGGAGGGGGTGGAGAGCTCTGGGGCAGGGTCTTGCGGGAGCAGGAGCGGAGGGCAGCGGGGGCTGGACCTTCTCCTCGCAGGGTGGGCTGCTGCCAGGGCTTTACCTGGATCTCCCCCCGCAAAGCCATCTTACACTTCTCCCTCTACTGGTGAGTTGTCCTGCTCCTCCCCTGCCCCCCCCCGGGGGGGGGCGCGCGTGTAGTAAGCCGCCCACAATCCCGTCCAAGACCCGGACGGACCGACGGACTCCACGCGGGCGCACTGGCCCTCGTGCCCGGCCAGCTGCACCCCACGCCCGCGGGTCCTCTGTCCGTCTGTCTCCTCGGCACCGTCCCTGCGGACTGTGGGTGCGGGAGCCCCAGAGCGTCTGTTTCAGAGCCGGGCGCCCTCCCACCGAGCCCGCTGTGTTCCAGGCCGTCCGTCTACTGGACAGAGCGCTTCCTGGAGGACACCACCCTGTCCATCACCGTGCCCAGTAAGCGCAGCCGGCCAGCGTCTGCCCGCGAGCGCCTCCGGAGGCGGGGGCTGTGAAGGGCACCCCAAGCCCCTGGGCCCAACCCAACCCTGGGATCTCAGGGGTCTCTGCCCTCATCATCTCTCAAGGGTCTCTTCCCTCATCTCTCAGGGGTTTCTCCCCCATCTCCCAGGGTCTCTGTGTCCCCATTTTCCAGGACCTCACTTCTGGACTTTGTGTCCTGTCAGGGGGACGCATGTCCTAGGAGTGGGGTCCTTCCTAGGGAAATGTCTTTGGACCCAGTGGGCGTGGGGTCAGTGTCTACCAAAGGCCCTCTGTCTTTCCTCACTGGAGACACACCTTTCAGAGCCCCGAAGCTCTTCCTCTTTGGGTGAAGCCTTCAGAGAAAGCTTGGTTATGGAGATAAATAACTTTAAACCCTGGGCCCCAGGAAAGCTTGGACCCTCACTAACTGCCCCCTTCGGTCTCCCGCCCATACCTACTGCCCCATCGTGGTCATCCCTGCCAGCCCACAGCCTGGGGGTTGTTTAAGTTGGGGTTCACCAGCACTGGAGTGACTGGGCTGTTTCCCATTTTGCGCAGCGGTGTCCCCCCGAGTGGAGGAGCTGGCTCGACCAAGAAGGTTCTACTTAGAGTATTATAACAACAACAGGTAGGAGAGTCTGCAGAAAACCTCCCAGGTCCCAGGCTCTGAGACCCTGGTGGGTCACTTCCCATCTGGGTGCCACAGACAGACCACTGACCCCTCCCACCTCAGCCGTCCACGTCCACACTCCAATAGGGTGGCATCGTTAGAAACCGCTAGCCACTCTGCGGGAGAAAGATGAGACTTTTCTATTCCCTGTAAAGAATTAGTCTCGAAAACCCACAGGGAGGTTCCTACCCTGCCCTACACATCAGCATAGACTTGTCTGAATTCACAGTGGAGAATCACCAGGAGCCCAATGCTGGTCCCTGTGAGGTGGAGGTCAGACACACCTACACACGCTTCATTAATTCTGACCCCAGACAACACCCACCCCCCACCCCGACCATTTCTCTCCTAGGATTGAGAAGCTGTTGCAAGGGCCACCCAGAACATAGACCACACTAGTAGTTGGGTGGTGTGCTGGGTGGGTTGTCGAGAGAAATAAAACCAGTGACACTCACCAACGTATAAGAAAGAGCTTTCTAGCAACAGTAATTCCACATCAAGGAAGCAGCCCAGCCCAAAGGAAGTCCGGAAGTCCGATGCCAACCCAAAGGTTCCTAAGACTCAGGTAGCTGCAGGCCAAGAACACCAAGAGAAGGCAGGAAGCAGGGAGATCAGAGACCTGTGGGTGCAGAGCCTCGTGGATCCAAGGTCAGTGGGCACATGGCAGGGCATCGAGAGCTCTCAGAGTCACATGGCCCACATGGGCCACTCCCGGAGTCCAGCAGGAGCCCAGCAAGCAGGAAGGAGAAATGTCAGAGAGAAAGGGGGCGGGGAAAGCTCTCAGTTTCCCTCTTATAAAAAAAGCCACGTCCAAGGAGGTGGCTTCAGGCTGTGACCCGATGCACCGTACACTTTCATAGAAATTCGAGTTGACACACAATGTCCAATGACCACAGGTGGTTCGTTAAGGGACAGGGCACACTCGGGATCATGGTCAGGAAGCACAAAAGCAGGATCCCCTTTGCAGCTCCGGGCACCTCTCTGGGCTCTTCTGGACCGGGCAAGGCTGGCCTTGGCCTCCTGAGGGCAGACCCCCTCTCAGTCCCTCAGGATACCCTCCTCCCAGCCCCCTCAGGTCAGCCTTTTCTCAACACCTGAGCTCAGACCCCCTCTGAACCCCCTGAGCATAGACACACACCCCCTTAGTATAGACCCCCCCATCTGGGCCCCTTGAGTATGGACCCTGTGTGAGTCTGGGTAGACTAGAGAAACAAATTCATTGACACATATGTGTACAGGAAAGAGCTTTGTAGACAAGAGCAATTGAATATTGAGAAAACATCCCAGCCCAGTCCAGATCAAGTCTGTATTAGTCTGGGTACTTTGGAGAAACAAATCCACAGCGACTCA